CATCAGCCAGGAAGTTAAAGCTTGGGCACGAATGGGTCTTCCACATGGACAATGACGCTAAGCATACCGCCAGGATAGTTACAAAGTGGCTTAAGGACAGCAAAGTCAACGTTTTGGAGTGGCCGTCACAAAGCCCTGATCTCAATCCCGTAGAAAATTTGTGGGCAGAGCTGTAAGGCCTGTGGATCAAGGCGGGTACAAACCTGACTCAGTCACACCAGTTCTGTCAGCAGGAATGGGCCAAAACTCTGTCAAACTATTGTGAGAAGCTTGTGGAAGAAAACCCAAAACATTTGACCCAAGTCATACAGTTTAAAGGCAATGCTACCAAACACCAAGGAAATGTATGTGAACTGTGACTTTGAAGAAAGTAACAAAAAATAAAAATTCTCTCTCTCATTATTCTGGGTTTAGCAAACAGAAATAATTTTGGTAATCCTCACTGACCTAAAACAGCAAAAGTTTAGTCTGATTTAATATCAGATAGTGAGATGTGCTTTTAATAGACTCTAAACATTGATCCCACTTTCTAAAAGATGTGTTAACTCTAAACTAATGCTACCCATGACCCCAGATTTTACACATGGTCAGCTCAATCAAGATGATGTTAAATCTTTTCGATTAATGAATTAATTGGTAAAAATGGATCAACTGATCTATCTAAGTGTGTTCCAGCAACTGTCACTGCTCCAAATTAGAGCCCAGCAGAGTCTAATGCAGCAGAATCCTGTAATTACCAGGTGTAGCCCCAGCAGCCACTTTTGCCAGCAAAAGTTACAGAGCAGGAGCTTTTCATGACGCTAACTGATGGTTTTTCGTGTCCTCTTTTCTCTCATGACCAGGAAATCTTTCCCCCTCTGCAATCATGTAGGATCTTCTAATTACTTGAATACACCTCTAGGAGATGTGAGGCTTTCCGACACAGAATTCTTTTATCAAGTGCAGAAGACTAACTCTTATCTGGCCTTACATCTCTTCCCACATCTTTCACATCCTCGCTGGGAGGAGCTAAGATACGAGGAAGAGGAAAGCGAAGAGACACGTCAGCATAATGAAAAGCGTTGCTCTCGGTCTGTTTCTCAAAAGCTGGTTTGGCTTGTATTTTTAGCAGATCTCCTCTATACTACAGATGCTTACACACTTTGGACACACACCTTGAACTTTACCATCTTTTACCATCTGCCAAAGACAAAATAGATGTTAAAAAATCAATATTTTAAAAAATCTGGCAGATTTAGGGTGACAAATGTTTGTCCATCTGCTCTTCTTGTCTGCTCATCCCATAAATAAAATGCTTTCATTTTGAAGCCGACTGCCAAAACAGGAGACAGACTCCATAACTGAAGCGAAAAATTTAGACAGAGGTCAGAACACTGACACGGAAACATATGCTGTAGATTAAGTCATTTAAGCTACACAGACATTTTGCTGTTGTCTGAGCTTAAATGAAACTGAAAAGTCTCATTAGATTTGGGAGCATTTACATGTATTTTTGGCCCATCAGTGCAATGAAAGCCTTGTACCGGTTCGATCATCCCGGCACAGGCTACCAGTTAATTTTAACATTTGATTTTAAGCAGCTGCTGTTAGCTGTTCCACCATCGAGCTTGGTGGGTAAGGCCGATCAAATGTTCTCCCTCCATTGGCAAGATGTACATCCTTTGAGTGATGTTTAGTTGCATTTACAGCCCCTATTATTGTTGATTTTTCTTTGGTTTTGTCTGGTTTGAAACCTCAGAGTCCCATCTTTTTTATGCAGATGATGTGATTCTGTTGGTTGCATTAATCTATGCCCTTCAGTGCCCACTGGGGCGGGTGTGCAGCCCCGATGAGATTCAGCAACCCCAAGTTAAAGGCCACGATTGTGGAAACTTGTGGATTAATCCTCTTGGGTTGAGGGTGAGTTGCTGATCCAAGCGGAGAAGTTCAAGTTCACAAGTGATGGGAAAAGGATATGTGTGACAAGTAGATGGAAAATGGAGCAGAACTTAAGGATAAGTCTCTCGATTTACAAGTTGATCTACATCTCAGCTCTCACCTATGACAGTCATGAGCTCTAAGAAGTGACCAAAAGACAGAGATCACAGATACAACCAGCCAAAAACAATGAGTTTCCTCTGTAGAGTGGCTGGACCTTAAAGGTAGGACATGGAGCTCAGACATCTGGAGTAGAGTTAATGAGTCATTGCATGGAAAGGAGCCAGTTGAGGTTGTTAAAACATCTCATTAGGATGCTTCCAAGGTGCCTTTCTTTGGATGTTTTTCAGGCATGTCCAATTGGGAGGAGACCCCAAGGGACAACTCTGTGGAGGGATTACATATCTCATCTGGCTTAGGAACACCTCAGGATGCTATAGAAGGAACTGGAAAACACTGATGGGGGAGAGGAACATCTGGAATCACCTGTTTAACCATCTGCCACTGACACCAAACTCCAGCTAAGTGGAAGGAAATGGATGGATGGACCTTTTTTATCCTGTTTACCGCCCATCCTTCCTGCATATATTTTTGTTGCGGCCTTTCTTCTAACATGTAGAGCCCTTCAGTTGTTTGAAGATAAGATAAGATGAGACAAGCCTCTATTAATCCCACAGCAGGGAAATTTGCAGCTTTACAGCAGCAAAGGGGATAGCAGCAAACGCAGAGGGAACATCGGTAGAAAATAAAAATAAACAAGATAAGAACTGTTAATATTGTACAGATTATTCCACGTGCGGAAATTCATATATTTATATATTGAAAAATAATTACAAAGATTCTTCCATGAGCACAAATACTGATTCGTCTGTAAGTAGAAAATGATGATATTGCTTATGTTCTTGTATATATAGAGAAATTGCTGCTGTACATTGATTTTAAATGTACAAAATATCCATAAATGAAATGATATATTAGAATAGCACCAAATAAAACTTGCAGTATGAATTTGATCTGATTTGATTTCCACTGCAGATATTTTCAAACTGTTTTTTTTCCTCCAACAGATGAGCTGGTGTCAAATTATGATGTGGGCATGGATGGATGGATGCAAAACTGCAGATCTGACAGACAAGACACTGACCACCAAATACCGATTACAGTATATACACAATATAAACGTTATTTGCATGATTGAAACTGTTGTATGTAGAGATGGCGGTGCAGGGGCGGGTTTTTTCTGTCACTCAGAGGTGAGCTGATGTACCGTGCTGTGATGAAAGGTAAGAATGATGTTTTGAGGTGAGCTCTGCTGTCTCCGTGGTGTGACGGATGGGTGGACAGGCAGCACTTTGTTCAGTGACCTTCTGCTCTACGATGACTGAAACATCTCCAGGTTTTGACTGATGACGGTTTCGGCCTTCTGAATGAGGATTAATCCACCCTGATGGTTTCTCCGGCACCCCCTCCGTAAGATCTCCAGCACTCAAGTACACGTCGCTCTTATCAACTCCAACCTTCCCTCCTGTAATGTCTATAGGCTTCGTGGCAGTTCTTCTAAAACTGGACATTTCAGAGTAGATGATTCTTGTTGCGCTGCTCCACAAAGTCAACCACCACTTTTCCTGCATGCAAACTTCCATCTCTAAACCACAGAGTCACTGGAAAACTCCTGCAGTTGGCGTCATTCATAGACAGTGTTCAGGGTCTCCCAGTTATGATTTAGGATTTTAGCATTTCTGTCATTTTTCGATATCAATAAATAAAAAGTTGTTTGGAGCTTCTCTGCAAATCAACCTTGAAGGTTTTCACTGCTCTGGGTGTCACCCTATCGTGGTCTGAACATAAATTCAGACCAGCGTTTGCACAAATGAAATCACTGTTTGATTTTCTATTTAGAGAGGCGATGATCCACTGGTCCTCCAGGTTGGGGGTTGGACACAGGGCCAACAATACTGTTCGATAAAAGCACTACTGTTACGGAAACAGAGGAAATCAATGCTACTGGGTGGGC